TTTAATGACTTATGGCTGACAAAACCTGTCCTTCCCCACCTCTTAGTAACATGAGGGTGACTGCTGCCTTACATGAATCGTACCGTGGTATGCTAATAATACTGACACCTAGCAGAATCTAGCCACTAAATCCAGAATTTTCCATCTTTGGTCTCTACAATTAGTTACCTAAACCTGTGCTCAGGCCACTCTACAATTAAGGTCACTTATTTTGGTACCTAAGGTTTGGGACCGAGATGTGAAAATATGGTCTAAATCCATAATTTCCCTCTTTAAAAACACTTAATAATACTGAAACGTATCCCACACCTCTTAGAAACGTTGTCCTAAATACTGACAAGGAAGAGTTCTGTGGCTGACAGCTTGCTGGGATAGCAGAATCTGCAGCAGCATCTTAATATATCTGGCATTGGCAAGGATGCCTAGAAATCACATAATGCTTCTCCGTCCTTCCTAAAAATCCCAGTTTATATTCACTAGGATTGTCATGTTGCAGAAACAAATGTGTTTCAAAGGCCACGTAATCAGATACTGCATCTTTTCATAAGAGTTATAGTCTCTACTACCACCTTCTTTAACACAATCTTTTTCAAAAGAAGCTGCTATACCGGTAGGAAATCCATCCATTTCCTAGGGTAAGCGAGTTAGGAGATGATCCTGTCAAAATAAACAGTAATTGAAGGTTATTTTAACTCCGCTGATGACAGTCTAAGCAAGGAGACGAAGGATTGGGGCATGAAGAATGAGTGGAGTGATGTGGTGTGGAGAACCTTGATGCGCTACAGCCTGAGCAATGAGCTTTTCCATGACTAATTCATGAAGCTTTGAGTTCCTAAAGCACTTTATACATTTGGATAAGTATTGTACAAGTGAGGAAGAAACTGAGATGCGAGATGTTCTATGATTTGCCCAAGGACACACAGCAAATCAGCAGCAGAGTGAAGCACAGAACTGAAGCCTCCGGATTCCTAACCCTGTATTCTAACCACCAGACCATGCTACCCCCATGTTCACACCATGGCCCAAGTCACTGTGATACCTTTCACAAGTACTACATTCATCCAAACAATCTCAACACAAATTAGCTGTGAGCAGATAAATAGCACCATGTTTAACTCTAGGTATAAGAAAGTCCTTCTGGTCCTTGATTTAGGTCCTCCTCAGTATTACAGCTTATGAGAAGAGGCACCCATGGCAACATGCATTAATTCACAAACTAAACAAATGCACTCTTGCCAACTTTTAGCCTCCTGTTTAAAACAGGTTTAAGTCCAGTTTTGAAAGTTACAAAGAAATTTTAATAAGACCCAAATGTCTGAAGGAAGGATCACTGTCTGTGAAGACGCAGGTGCAATGCTTTCCAAATAATCAGTCGATCCCTTTCATTCAGTATTACATAGTGACACTTGTCTGCTCTAAGCTGCTCCAAAGCCAGGAGCGTGGGGGAGAATGCAGCATGCATGGTAGTTGCTGTCTTTGTCCGAGTGGAGGAATTTGCTTATGAATTTGTGATTCAGAACTCTGTGAAGTTTTTTGACCATTCTGGTTTTGGTGAATGTACCAATTGCCATTGTATTTGTTATTCTGTATCAATCCTAATGACCCGAGACAGAGCCTTTCTTCTTGGTGACAGCGACTAGCAGCCAACAGTACTAGTGGGGGAAAAACAACCCAGATGACCTTTCTGAAGCAAATGCCATCTGCAGATCAGCACTTGGAGACCAAGTGCTAATTACGTTGCTCAATGCAGGATACTTCTATTCTGTTCTCATCCCCATGCCATGGTTCACCCTGAGCATGACTAATTCATCTTAGCTGTCAGGCACAATAAAGTAGCCAGAGCAATGCTTTGTCTTTCAATATTCTACAGCTATGTGCCTAAATAAGCACTTTGGGTGCCTTTAAAAAATAAAGCTGGCAGCTGCTTAAGCTGACATAATATCACTATATGCTGATTAATTCCTTGGTGCCAGCTGCTTTAGATGCATTCATGCTGGTAATGGACATTGCACTGTGAAAATCCAGTTCCCTGTACAAGTAGATCCATTGCTTTTGAGAAGTCTGGAAAAGGAAACTTCGTTTTGGCTGTTTAAAAAGTACCATTGCCAAAGGCTAATTGACTAGCTCTGAATAAGTAATTTGTTCAGTGATCTTAGTCCAGTCTCTTGCGACCATTTCACTATGTCATAATGTCAAAAAAATTCAGTGTGTACTCCCAACATGGAAAAGAAGGCTGCTGCCAGTCAGCAGTGAGGTACTTTGACAGATGTGTGTGGAAAGCCTGTATGTGCGTGCTTGCACTACACCTGGGCATATATCGATCAGTCTAAATTTCACTCTTTCAATCTCATAGATACTAAGGTCAGAAGGGACCATTATGATCATCTAGTCGGACCTCCTGCACAACGCAGGCCACAGAATCTCACCCACCCACTCCTGCAAAAAACCTCTCACCTATGTCTGAGCTATTGAAGTCCTCAAATCGTGTTTTAAAGACTTCAAGGAGCAGAGAATCCTCCAGCAAGTGACCCGTGCCCCATGCTACAGAGGAAGGCGAAAAACCTCCAGGGCCTCTTCCAATCTGCCCTGGAGGAAAATTCCTTCCCGACCCCAAATATGGCAATCAGCTAAGCCCTGAACATATGGTCAAGATTCACTAGCCAGATACCCAGGAAAGAATGTTCTGTAGTAACTCAAATCCCACCCCATCTAACATCCCATCACAGGCCACTGGGTCTATTTACCATGAATATTTAAAGATCAATTAATTACCAAAATCATGTTATCCCATTATACCATCTCCTCCATAAACTTATCGAGTTTAATCTTAAAGCCAGATAGGTCTTTTGCCCCCACTCCTTCCCTTGGAAGGCTATTCCAAAACTTCACTCCTCTGATGGTTAGAAACCTTCATCTAATTTCAAGTCTAAACTTCCCAAAGACCAGTTTATATCCATTTGTTCTGGTGTCCACAGTGGTACTGAGCTTAAATATTTCCTCTCCCTCTCTGGTATTTATCCCTCTGATATATTTTATAGAGAGCAATCATATCTCCCCTCAACCTTCTTTTGATTAGGCTAAACAAGCCAAGCTCCTTGAGTCTCCTTTCATAAGACAGGTTTTCCATTCCTCGGATCATCCTAGTAGCCCTTCTCTGTAGCTGTTCCAGTTTGAATTCATCCTTCTTAAACCTGGGAGACCAGAACTGCACACAGTATTCCAGGTGAGGTCTCACCAGTGCCTTGTATAATGGTACTAAAACCTCCTTATCTCTACTGGAAATACCTCGCCTGATGCATCCCAAGACTGCATTAACTTTTTTCACGGCCATATCACATTGGCAGCTCATAGTCATCCTATGATCAGCCAATACTCCAAGATCCTTCTCCTCCTCCATTACTCTTTGCATGCTGAGCTGCACCTTGTAACTAGGGTGCATCACCTCTAAATCAGCACTGTTGTATTGTTATAGAATGCAAAGGTATGTCCATGGGGTGGTAGAAACACAGCTTTGCTGGATACACAGACCATGAATTGTGGCACCTTAGAGACTAATACGTTTATTTGGGCATAAGCTTTCGTGGGCTAAAACCCACTTCATTGGATGCATGCAGTGGAAAATACAGTAGAAAGACAGAAAGAGAACATGAAAAGATGGGGGTTGCCATACCAACTCTAATGAGACAAATCAATTAAGATGGGCTATTATTAGCAGGAGAAAAACTTTTGTAGTGATAATCAGGATGGCCCATTTCAAACAGTTGACAAGAAGGTGCGAGTAACAGTAGGGGGAAATTAGCATGGGGAAATAGCTTTTAGTTTGAAACCTGAGACCATGACTTGATTTTTTTTAAAGCATCTTTTGTCAGCAGCAGCAGCACACCTGCCACATGGGAGGCCCTGGTCTACAGTCAGCTCTGCATACTTGTTTTCTGTGCAAGGTGATACAAAGAGCATACAGTGTGATGGGGGAAGTGCCCATTACATCCAAAATGAACACTTCACCTCTGTCGACATTTGTTGCATGCTGTCATGCAGCACAGCTGAGAAGTGTAATAAAAACGACAAGGGGTCAGTTGATGGCCAGTGGGGCAAAATCACCTGCCTCTGTGACCATCATCTTAGACCTACATTCACACTTCATGAGTCAGAGAGATGAAAACTGCCACCATCGCACGGTCCTCACTAGTGAGCCAGAACCTGCATGTGCCTACCTGTCCTATCCCCAACTTGCAGCTAAAGTACAATATTTAGATAAGTTGTTACATGGGGCCCCTCTCGAGGCTTCCCCAGCTGTGAAACCAACAAAGGTGCATAGCCTGCTGGCTTCCCAGCCAAAGGAGCCATTCAGTAATCTGGCAGGGAAGCACCTTTGCTGAGGCAGCCACCTAAAGCTCACACAGCTGCCCAAATCCTTCCTCTTCTTACCTGATTGGTAATTGGGCCTTAGAGAATGTTAGCTGGGGAAGCACAGGCCCATGTCCTTCTGGTGCCATAGCAGAAGCAGAATCTACTTTGGCAACAGCTAAGGAAGAAGAAATCCTTTCAGGTGTCTCTGTATGTATTTTATTTTATTTCTTAAAGTAGTAGTTCTTTGTTCCAGCATGGGGAAAATATGCTCTACCCTATACCCAGGCCAAGTGTTTAATAGGGAACACCGGGCAATTTTTTTCTCCTTAAATATAGCTCAGTTCCTCTGTCTCCAAATAATTTGTCTCCTTATCATGCCATGAATGTGATCTACAATATTGCTTTTTATGCAGCACCCAGAAGACGCCACAATAAGTGCTTTAATCCAAAATTTGATGGTGTAGAGGAGAACCTGGATGCAGTACAAAGTAACAGCTCGCTGAAACCCACTGGAATGTGCCCAGCAAATGAAGTTGTTTCAAGCCCGTTCCTCCAGCTGAGGCAACTGCAGGCAGTTCAGCAGAGAATAACCTCTGACCCTCCAACTCTCACTCCCACCAATATATGGTTAGAACACAAACTGTACATACTTCTAGCTGCCATGATCTCCTGCTGCAGGACACATATATACAACTGAAGCGTCAGCTGAGGCGCAGAGCCGAGGAAAGCCTGGATCACAGATGCCCTGCTGAATGCAGATCTATGTGTAAACAATTTGCCTTCAGCCTGGCCCACTTCCTTCTCAACTTCTTCTGAATGTCCGTCTTTAGGCATCTGCCTCTTCTTGGTGATGCTGACATAAGGCTCTTCAAATCTCCCCGCATGAAAGTAAATGTAAAAAACTTCCACACACCTGGAAGTAAATCAACAGATAAAGAGTGATAGAAAAAAAATCAAGGGTTTTCCAATAGCCTTATTAACATTCTAAGCCCATTTTCACAATTACTAATACTGTGCCCTGCTCTCTGATAATCAATTTATTTCCCAACTGTACTGTGCTATGATTAGGGCTCTACCAAATTCACAGCCATGAAAAATGCATCACAAATCGTGAAATCTGGTCTTTTGTGTGCTTTTACCCTATACTATACAGATTTAGAATCATAGAATATCAGGGCTAGAAGGAACCTCAGGAGGTCATCTAGTCCAACCCCCTGCTCAAAGCAGGACCAATCCCCAATTTTTGCCCCAGATCCCCTAAATGGCCCCCTCAAGGATTGAACTCACAACCCTGGGTTTAGCAGGCCAATGCTCAAACCACTGAGCTATCCCTCTTCACGGGGAGACAAGCATTTCTCCAATTGGAGGTCCTGACCCAAAAGGGAGTTGCAGGGGGTCGCAAGGTTATTTTAGGGGGCCACAGTATTGCCACCCTTACTTCTGTGCTACCTTCAGAACTGGGTTGCCAGAGAGTGGCTGCTGTTGGCCAGGCGTCCAGCTCTGAAGGCAGCGCCCCACCACCAGCAGCGCAGAAGTAAAAGGTGGCAATACCATACCCTGCCACCCTTACTTCTGTACTGTTGCTGACAGCAGCTCCACCTTCAGAGTTGGGCACCTGGCCAGCAGCCACCGCTCTCCAGCTGCCCAGCCCTGAAGGCAGCACCCTGCCAGCAGCAGGTCAGAAGGGTGGCAATACCATCCCATCCCATGCTTACTTGTGCCCTGCTGCTGGCAGTGGCTCTGCCTTCAGAGCTGGGCTCCTGGCCAGCAGCCGCTGCTCTCCAGCTGCCCAGCTCTGAAGGCAGTAAAAGTAGCAATACTGAAACCCACCCATACAATAACCTTGCAACACCCCGCTCCACAACTCCTTTTTGGATCAGGACCCTACAATTACAACTCTGAAATTTCAGATTTAAATAGCTGAAATCATGAAATTGATGATTTTTAAAGTCCTGGGACCATGAAATTGACCAAAATGGACCGTGAATTTGGTAGGGCCCCCACTCATAATGGTGAGTTGTCCTCTTGATGTGACATTAATATCCATGAGTCTACTCACTGGGGTAAGCATTTTCAGGATTGAGCCTTTGATTTGTATTAATGACCCAAATTATAAGTAGCTGTCATCTGAGTTCTAGATTTGTGATGGGGAATTATATATCCCAACCTGAAAGCAAGGAGTCATAACAGCCAGCCAGGTGCATTATCTGACCAGTACATCCCACAGCCAATGGAGATTACTACTATTACAATTCAGTATCTATAATTAAGGTTAAGATTTTGTCATGGTTATTTTTAGTAAAAGTCATGGGCAGGTCAAGGGCAATAAACAAAAATTCACAGAAGCTATGAACTGTCTGTGACTTTTGCTGCTGCGGCTCTATGGTTTCCCCCACAACCATGGTGGCTGGGAGCTGCAGGATTCCCCCTCTGCCCACAGTGGCTGGGAGCTGCAGGGTGACCATATTTCCCAAAGAGAAAATGGGACACTCCAGCCGCTCGCCCGACCGGTCCCCCTCTTCACGCGTGAGGCTGTTGCTGGAACCCTGAGCAGGGCCCCCTCAGGAGTCTGTCACCTATTGCTGGAACTTTGCAGGGGGTCGCTTGTTGCTGCGGTTGCCTGTCGCTGGAATCCTGCCAGGGCCTCACTGGCTGCCAGCTCCAGAGTCCCGCAGCCCCTGGGGCTGAAGCAGAGAATGTTACGGAGATCTCTGGAAATCATGGATTCTGTGACTTCCATGACCTCCATGACATAAAACGTAGCCTTATCTATAATAAAATTCCAGGGTTGTCACTCTCTCTGCTTGTCACTCAGGCCTAGAATATCTGAGAGTCACTGTGAAGCAATAGGAACAGCTACATGCATAGTGGAGACCTCTTTTTGTTAAGAATATCACCAGCCTGAATCATCACTAGGGTTTGTGGTCTGTTAACATCTAATTTTTAAAGGTCTCAGCCATTTTGACTTAATGAATTATACCTATGCAACAGCATAGCTTTTCAGCTACAATAAGGCCTGTATCTATACTATTCCAAGAATCCTAGACCATTGTGCAATCTCGGGTAACTCAACCAATCACCACCCTTACTCTATAGCTAATTTGCATGCAACAATTTCATTGGTTGTGTGAGGGAGACTGCATAGATGGTGGATTACCTGGCTCAACTGCCACCATTCTTCAAAATCACCCACACAACAACACAACCAGGACCCACAAAAACCCCCAAACACATATAGCCCCTCACTGCAGCATATACCCCACATTTGCCAAGCGCACAATGTAACACTACTTTCCCAGCACCACACACTCATTTGCCCACCCTCACTTATACTTCCCATAGAACTGTAGCCATGGGTCATCAACAGGTTGAATCATCACTGAATTTGTGGGTTGTTACCATCCAGTTTTTAAGTTCTCAGCCATTTTTAGACAAATGATTTTAAATGACCAATTAGAAAATACACTGAAGAGCTCATATTATCCCAGTGATGAGGCCTCTCCTCCCTTGAGCCCTGTCAGCAGCAAGATAGGAAGGGGCTTCTGTTGGTAAGCAAACTATGACTATATTAATATTATTATTCCAGTGGACTACTCTAGAGAGTAATGTCTGTTAGAGCTAGAAGCTGACTGGAAAGTCTGTATGTTTTAAAAAAGCAACCCATGACTGAGAACGCACCATTGTCCCAAATAAAACATTTTAACAATAAACTGTAGAAAAGCTTAGGCTTTTGAAGAGTGCCTGCTGGTCAGGTAGACCAGGAATATTCAAAGAAGCAAACTAAAACTGCTGCTATCTGGGTTGTGTTGGAATTCTCTCTAATTTGCAGGGACAGGGGTGGGGTTAGGAGTCTTGTTTTTAAATAAACTGATATGCTGTTTCCCTATCAGAACCACAACTAAGGCAACACATGACAGCAAATGCTCTGAACCCGACTGTCCATACCTGTGGAAGGGTGTGCTTCTGTGTACCACCACTAAAGCATTAATTGTACCTTTTCTCTAGTAAAATGCAATTAACCTCTAGCCCTCACCCCTGAGAGAACATTATTGCAATCCTTCCACTTGGAGACTGAGTCCCAGAACCTCAGACATATTTACGTGTGTCAAGGTTCCTCCCCCACTCTGAACTCTAGGGTACAGATGTGGGGACCTGCATGAAAACCTCCTAAACTTACTTTCACCAGCTTAGGTTAAAACTTCCCCAAGGTACAAATTAATTTTAGCCTTTGTCCCTGGATCTCCACTGCCACCACCAAACTCTAACTGGGTTTACTGAGAAACATAGTTTGGACACATCTTTCCCCCCAAAATCCTCCCAACCCTTGCACCCCACTTCCTGGGAAAGGTTTGGTAAAAATCCTCACCAATTTGCATAGGTGACCACAGACTCAAACCCTTGGATCTGAGAACAATGAAAAAGCATTCAGTTTTCTTACAAGAAGACTTTTAATAGAAGTAAAGAAATCCCCTCTGTAAAATCAGGATGGTAGATACCTTACAGGGTAATTAGATTCAAAACATAGAGAATCCCTCTAGGCAAAACCTTAAGTTACAAAAAAGGCACACAGACAGGAATAGTCATTCTATTCAGCACAGTTCCTTTCTCAGCCATTTAAAGAAATCATAATCTAACATATACCTAGCTAGATTACTTACTAAAAGTTCTAAGACTCCATTCCTGTTCTATCCCCAGCAAAAGCAGCATACAGACAGCCACAGACCCTTTGTTCTTCTGCCTCCTCCCAGCTTTTGAAAGTATCTTGTCTCCTCATTGGTCATTTTGGTCAGGTGCCAGCGAGGTTACCTTTAGCTTCTTAACCCTTTACAGGTGAGAGGATTTTTCCTCTGGCCAGGAGGGATTTTAAAGGGGTTTACCCTTCCCTTTATATTTATGACAACATGCTTAACTCCCATTGATTTCAATGGGAGATAGGTGTCTCAATACCTTTGAGGATCTGGGCCTGAGTTACTTTCTTCCTCCACACAGAACTAGCTCCTGTCCCAATCACAAGCAACCCATGAGGCAGAAAGTAAGCAACATTTCTTCATTCCCCTTGCACAACTTCTCGTCTACCGATCCCAGTGTTAGTAGCAGGGGGCAGCAAATGCAGAGAAAAGTCACACACGAATGCTAAGTACACTATAAGCACAGTTAGACTAATCACTACAAAAAGCACAGCTAACTCTGCACTAAGCTTAGCTTTGGGTAAAATTTTTAAAAGCACCCATTTGTAACTTAGGAGCCTAAATTCCAACACTTAATAAACAATTCAGGCTTATATTTTCAAAATCGTCTGCGGGATATGGACACTCAGTTCCCATGAATTTTAGTGGGTATTGGGCTTCCAAATTGTCAGGAGCCTTTGGAAATTTCAGCCTATCTTTTGTTCCTGCAGTTCACCACATTTAAGTTTGGGTATAGCAGGCATTTCTCTGGTTGTAGTATGTGAATTTTACAGCCAAAGGGGAATTTTTCAGCAAAAAAATTTTTTGTTGGAAAATGCTGATTTGTTGATACCAAGACTATTTGCAGAAAAGGGTAGGTTTTGAACAATTTCCTCTTTGTTTGTTTTTTTAAGTTTCTAAATTGTTGAAATGGGATTAAAAAAGTTTCATTTTCGGTTCAAAATGACTTTTCGTTTTGAAATGAAAGTTAATTTAAGGTAAACTAAAACGTCAAAATTGAAATGAAATGTTTCAAAATTATTGAAACAAAACATTCTGACTGACCTGATCCAAAAAATTTTTGGATTTTCAATAATGAAAATTAGACATTTTGACTTTTCATCTCAACTCAGGAGCAGAAATATTTTCAATACCTCGAAAATTTTCATGGAATGGGAAAACCACCCAACTGTCGTGAATTCCTTGTTTCTTTTCTGTCAGTGTTGATGTAGATACAGTTTTGCACATAACAAAATGTTTAATTTCTTTCTATTGTGTTCAGTACCAAAAACTTTGTACCCCTGACTTCAATGGACCAGGATTTGATCACCAGTGTTTTGCATGAAAGCCCTTTGTATTATCCTTTTTTGCCTCTTGCAAGAGCATAGTTTATTACTGTGTAAGTAGAGGCAGTCCCTGCTGCAGACAATTTGTAACCAAGCACCCACTTTAGAAGAGGTGTGGTAGCTGACTGGTTAAGATGCTCAGGTACACTCCTGAAAGTTGTGGGTTTGCTACTTGCTTGATCTCATGCTGAAAGGCCACCTTCCATTCACCTTGCTGCTCCATGGGGTTAGAGAAGCCAAAGGTGGTTGGATGTGATGCTGGCCCTATCACACCATTGTGAACTGTTGGCTAGGGAACTGATGTGCCTTGACCATGCCAACCTGATGAGCCAGTGACTTGTAAGAACTCTGACCCCCTTCTAGGCCCATGTTAGAACTTAATGAACAGTAGGGGTGGAGTGTACACTATATTGGCTAAATTTTACTTCCATTGAAGCCTGTAGTGCTCCAATTGATTTCAATGGGAACACAGTTAAGCCATGCTGAGTGCTTTTGAAAATCCCATCCTACATATTGTACTTGCTGTAACAGATACAGTTCATATCAGACAGAAAGGAGCCAACTGTCACAGGACAATGACACACACAGACACTCAGATGGGAGACCTAAGTTCCAGTCCCTGAGCCAATGAATATTGAATTATTTATACAAAGTGGAACAGCTTTAAGAGGCAACCCTGAGAAAGCTCCATAACCCAGTGGTTCAGGCTGTCACCTAACATGTGGTAAACCCAGGCTCAAGTCTCTGTTCCCTATCAGGTAGATGGGAGACTTGAACCTTTATCTCCCACAGCCTGAGTAAATATTCTAACCACTGGGCTAAAAGTTATAAGGGAGGGGAGGAACTCCTTCCCACCCTCCAGGAGAAAAGGCTTAGGCACCTAACTTTAGGAAAATTGGCTGTGAATCCCTAGCAGACGGAGACACCTCCCTCCAGCCCAGACTTATGTGTCTACATCCCTTAAGGGGTGTGGCCTTATCACACACCCCTCTCCTCTGCATTTCCTATTGGCTAGCTTAGGCAGCTTCCTGCTCAGCTTGCTAGCTTCTGTAGATCTCATTCTTAGGTGCTTAACACTCTTCTGATTAGGAGTACTTGTGGCACCTTAGAGACTAACCAATTTATTTGAGCATGAGCTTTCGTGAGTTGAAGTGAGCTGTAGCTCACGAAAGCTCATGCTCAAATAAATTGGTTAGTCTCTAAGGTGCCACAAGTACTCCTTTTCTTTTTGCGAATACAGACTAACACGGCTGTTCCTCTGAAACTCTTCTGATTGTCTTATATAGAGAGCCTGAGCTCCTTACTTGGGGCTGTTGATTCCAGTAGGCAGTGTGCTGCCTAACATTTAGACATTGCAATGCTTAAGACCCCTTTGTGGATCTAGTCCCTTTTTTCTTGGGTGCCACCTGTGGCAATGTTTGGGAGAGCTGATCACTATGGTACAAATAATAAAGGGAGAATTTCATGAATCCCAGAGTGATGCTCCGATTACTAATTATCTGTATTGCAATAGTACATAGGAGCCCTAGTCATGTACCATTATGCTGTGGTCTGTACAAACACAGAACAAAGAGACAATTGGATAATGGGATGAGATTGTACTTGGCCAAAGTGTAATTTGAAGTTTTCTCCAGAAAAGAACATTAAACCTTCCACTGAAATGCTTTTAAGTCACTTTGCTTTTATAGTCTCCTTCAGTTTAGGTGTTAAAGTGTCTCCATTTCAAAAAAGAAAATTCTAAATAAGTGTAACTACCTTTTCCAAGCATTCAAAGGAATAACTGCATTCACAAAGCATGGCATCAACCTGAAGTGCCACAGAAATCCCAGATAGTGTCCTGCCGTCACTTCGTCCCAGCCAATTACATTGAAATGTATCCTTTCTCAGACTTGCCTATATCTCAAAGACTAGAGTCAGGTCACTGTGTGATATTGGCAATATTACTCTACAAATCACTTTGAGTACTTATAGAGAAACTGTTCCTATTACAGAGGGGGAAAATAAAATTGGCAAAAGGCAAGTATATGCTCTTTCATAACACAACCATTCTCTCCATGAACAGGAAGGCTACTAGCTGTATGATGTCCCTATTGTAATTACTTTTGTGACAGCAAATGTCCAGCTAATATAGGTGGTACTGAGGATGAGACAATAAGCAGGTTTATAAAGTATACTTATTCTGTCATGTTCAGGAACCAAACAAGGCTAGATCATTGTAGCTAGGCAAGGCAGTATTTTTTCCAGGTGGCTGCCATCTTGTGCTCCAGCATCTGAGCTTTCATTTGGAAATAAATAAATAAAATAAAAGGAGGAAAGTAAATCTCTAGCCTTTATGATTACAAAGAAAACCTTCAAAATGTGAACTGGGCATCAGCCAGTGAGCCAAACTGAAAGTGCCCAGCAGAGCACGCATCATATGCTGTATATCACCGTGAACTAGTGAGAGTGGCGTCTCATTCTGACTTCTCAAATGGACAGAGCGTGGAACTATAGCAGAACTTGGGGCAGGGTTAAGTCGACCTAAGTTATGCAACTCCAGCTTCGTGAATAATGTAGCTGGCGTCAAAATACTTTAGGTCGACTTATTGCAGTGTCTAAACCGCACTGGGTCGATGGCAGAAACTCAAATCTAAATATTCTTCTTTCTAATATTGTTTCAAAGGGCACTTTCAACTCAATATCTCAAGTGGAATTTTGGGCTCTCTTGTCAAACAGAACACCTTCTGGAAGAAGTGAAACCCTTGAGAATTATAAATACTACAATATGAATGGAATCATTACCATAAAACATTTAAATTAAGCCACACTAGGAGTTTCCCTTTCTTCCTGTGAAGTCAATCTGATCTATGTTACTATGTTGCAGAAATTTGCAGTAAGATATAACTTACCCAGTAACTATAACTATCAAACTGCTTATCTTCACAAAGAATCAAGCAACTTTAGAGAAATGGGCCTTGTCTGTACAAAGAGAAAACAGCTTCTAGATTCCATCTAAACAAATAGCCTCAGTAAGGATCTCACTGTATAGGAGAGAAAACTGTTTGCTTACCACCTGGCCTTCCTTTTTTATTTCCAGCCTCTGTGGGGGGGACCTCATAACCTATTTTCTTCAGTGCTAAGTCTTAAGATTTGTGGATTCTGCAGGTTAGCAAATACCACACCCTTTCTTTCCCTGTGTTTGCTTTCAGGACAGCAACATGACTGTTCCTGAGAGACTGACAAAATAACTATTAAAGCATATTCTACAGCATTAGTGTTACTTTGATTAATGCAGGTGCATAAGCACAAAGGAGACTCAGTCAGCTTCATACCAATAGAATACAGGGGGGATGGAATAATTTTTATAGTGGGGGTGCCCAGAACCATTGAACCAAACTGTAAACTCTGTATATAATGGAAACCTCCTGCAACTCCAGTTCTAGCACCTATGATAGAATAGCTATAGAAATACAACAGACTAACGTTTTGGGTGTTTTGGGCAGGGGGACATTGTGCAAAGAAACACACAACAGGCACAGATCTAGTTCATATGGATAAACATGGCTGTACCACACACACGCAGAACACAAAAATCCTATATACACACACACACGCATCTCTATATCCACACAACAGAGACGTGTAAAGAGAGCGAATGTTTCTAAATTGGTGTCTCTTATACACAAAGGCAACTGTGCTTCCATCTCGGGAACCTCAGCTGCATCTCAACCACAAAGCTGAAGACTACGCAAATGTAACACATGCCAATGTGTGCTATACATTGCAAACGTTCACACGGCTGTACACGGCTGTATTATGCACAAACGCCGGGGGCTCGCGAAGAAAAGAAAAAGCTGCCGCAAACAAGATGCGCTCTCCAGAGCGCCAGAGGGACGGCTCCGCTCCACCGACCCGCGCTCGTCCGCTCTGCGAGCCCCCAGGGGGAGCCGCTGGCGCGCAGCAGGGGAGGTGGCTGGAAGGGAGCGGCGATGCTTTTTAATGAAGTAAATCGGGAGGGCAGGACGCTGCCCACGCGGGCCAGCAGCCCGCCACCCACCTGACAAGGGGTCCCAGCTGCAGGATGTGCAGCAGCAGCACCAGGGGTCTGTCCCGGCTCAGCTCCCGGTGGATGAAGACCAGGTTGAACTGCACCAGCACGCAGGGCAGGAGGGCGAAGAGCAGGGTCAGCGCCTGCCAGATGCGGTCCCCCGCCGCGCGGTAGGTGCTGCTCAGGTACAGGGCGGTGCCCGTCTCGGCCAGGAAGAGGAGCAGGGAGACGAGGACGGAGCCCGGGAATTTCATCTCCGCCCGTGCCGGCAGCCGGCGCGCCGGGCGCCTCATCTGTCTGCGGCAGCCGGCTGGGCAGGGCCCCCCGCTCCGCCCAGCGCCCTCTCCCGCGGGGCTCGGGCCCGGTTCGCCGCGGGGGAGCGCTGCCCGCTAGGGGGAGTCCCGCTTGCTGCGGCGGCCCGGCCACCTGCCCCCAGGCCCTCCGCACGCCGGGGCCTGCCCGGGGAGCGCCGCCGCCGCGGCCGGAGGCGAGAGCGGGCTCGGGGCCCTGGCGCAGGCACCCGCGTGGGCAGCAGCCGCCGCCGTTGCCGCCGCCCGGTAGGGGCAGGGGCGCAGAGCGGAGACAGCTGCAGCGCTGGCAGAGGGGCTTGGGTCAGCCCCAGCGGAGAGGAAACCACCTCTTCCTCTGCGGCGCTGCTTGGGGGGGCGCTGGGGAATGAGGGGCAGGGGCAGCCCCCTAGGAGCTTTAGTGTAGGTCCCTCCACAGCCCCCTACACCGGGTGCTGGGACAACCTGTGTCGTGGGGGGTGCTGAGAGCCACTGAACCCCACTGTAAACCCGCTCCGGGGTTCTCAAATTCATTGCAGCTCCGCCCTCTTCTGACAACAACGGGAGGGGGGACCGAAGCCTGCGCCAGCCCCAGGCAGCGGGGGTCAAAGCCGAAGCCCAAGGGTTTCAGCCCCAGGCAGGGGGCCTGTAACCTGAGCCCCGCCACTCAGGGCTGAACCCTTGAGCTTTGTCCCCTGGCCCTGGGACTCAGGCTTAGGGCCCGGGGCCCTAGCAAATCTAATGCCAGCCCTGGCAACCCCAGTAAAATGGGGTTGTGACCCACTTTGGGGTCCTGACCCACAGTTTGAGAACTGCTGCTGTATATGATGGAAACCACTTCAAGCCAGGGGGTGCAGCAGCATCCCCCACACCGCTAGTTCCAGCACCAATGCCCTTATAGAGTTGGTTAAAGATCATTGGGTGATAGGGTTGTCAATTTTGGTTGGACTTTTCTTGGAGGTTTCATCACGACAATCTTTAATGAAAGATCAGTCTTTAATTTCTAGGGCTTGTTTACACTACTGCACGGGGTCAATCTAAGATATGCAACTTCAGCTACGTGAATAGCGTAACTGAAGTCGACGTACTTAGATCTACTTACCGTGGTGTCTTTACTGCGGTAGGTCGACAGCTGGCGCTCTCCTGTCAACTCCGCTTGCACTTCTCGTTCTGGTGGAGTACCAGAGTCGAGAGGAGAGCGCTCAGCGGTTGATTTATCACATCTATACTACGACCCCCGCTGGATCGATTGCTGCCCGCCGATCTTGCGCCTAGTGTAGACAAGCCCCTAGAGACTCCAGGACAATCCTGGAGGGTTGGGAACCCTAACTGGGTGAGAGTTTCTGAAGTTCATAGCTGATCCTCATTCTGCATTTCCCACTGCACCATTTTCCATGTGGTTTGTCAGAGTGTAAGTAGGCAGGGACAAGGACAGGCTTCAGCTGATGTCTCTCTGTGAACTTAACATAATGGTAGCGCATTACCCTGGGGGAAATGTGTTAGCTTTGACCACCCACTTCAGTCCTCACTGGCCTTCAGAGGGAAGGGGATTGGAGCCAGTTCCAAGAGTCAACCTGCAAGGATTGCCTGGGTGAGATAAATCAAGGTGGCAGGTTCCTTTATGCTGACCTGGGCTGAACTGCTAGCAAACACCAGGAAATCAGTTTGATAGCCTAAGTGCAAGAACAAAAGCAGCCTCTGATTTTGTATGACAATTTTCAGGTGCCCAATTTGAGACACTTGAATTCAGTAGGTGGTGTGGGCACTCTGCTCTTCTGAAAAATCAGGCTCAAGGTATTTTAAATTGACACTTGAAAGCTGTAGCCACTTTTGAAAGTTTTAAACAAGGTTTCCCTAGTTTAACCTCTCTCATAATGTAACACTGATCTCCCCATTCAGCCACTTTTCACTAGCTTGCCATGTGCATACAAGTTCCTGCAGTGCTTAATTTGTGGCAGGGCTGAGCCCTGGCATCTCTAGGCTTGGCAGTTCATAGCCCTGGTACCTCGTTTGCTGCATCAGTTATGTCAAAAAATTGTTTGAGCCCTGGCACCTCTTTCATTACAAATTAAGCACTGAATTTCTGAATCCCTTACGGCGTGTCCATAGGGCTTCAAAAAAACACTGCAGAAATCTTAGCTATGGTTTATGAGTACTTGGGAACCTGGAGACCAGTTGCTGAGGAAATCTATTTTAGAAAAAGATTAAGATGGACTGGGAGTAGATTTCTGACATTTTGTCCTGCTTTTGACGCCTTTGTGGGCTGCAACCTAGGCATCATCTCCTTTTGGAAAAATAAACAGACCAATAATTTATAGTTCAGCAATACTAGTGGTAGAAATGGTGAAAGCTGTAGGGTGGACTAGGCTCAGGACCTTGCTGCCAAACCCTAAGATGGTGGATTACAGTTCTGAGTTTTCAGAACAAGAAACACCAGCAGATGGGTAGAGAAGTGTAGCTTCCCAGTGTCAGAGCCTATGCCTCCTCAAATGACTATTTTTCCAACTGTAGGGACTATGTCTGATGTGTTTGTACAGCACCTCGCATAATGGGTCTCTGATCCTGACTGGTTTCAGAGGAACAGCCGTGTTAGTCTGTATTCGCAAAAAGAAAAGGAGTACTTGTGGCACCTTAGAGACTAACCAATTTATTTGAGCATGAGCTTTCGTGAGCTACAGCTCACTTCATCAGATGTATACTGTGGAAACTGCAGCAGACTTTATATAGACACAGAGAATATGAAACAATACCTCCTCCCACCCCACTGTCCTGCTGGTAATAGCTTATCTAAAGTGATCAACAGGTGGGCCATTTCCAGCACAAATCCAGGTTTTCTCACCCTCCACCCCCTGACTGATCCTGACTGGAGCACTACTGGAAATTAACATAATAGCGGTCATCACTGATCATGTTCTCAGCAGGGATGGGCAAACTGTTTCAGAAAAGACCTCATCCATTTTCTCAAACCAAATGCCACCTTTCATAGATTATTAGATATATGTCTCACTACAACCCTCCTTTGCAAAAGCCCCAGTAGGCCTGACACTTTGTTTGCTTTCATATGGTTAAAAAACCCCTCATCCTGAGAAGACTCCACAGATGTCTCCACCATCAAGGGAGCTGATGTCATTTAAATTAGTCCATAGCAATTATAAAGTTTTGTCTATGCTAGCATAGACAATCATTAACAAAGTTCATGCTGAGAAGGAAAAAGGGTGTTTTGTAGCTTTCATTGTGCTCGCTGCCAACCTAATAACGTAACAGTTTAATGAACCCATCTAGTAATTCAGGTATTTCAAATGCCCAAAGTGAAATGCTGCTTTAAAAGTTTAAAAGAAAAGGAGTACTTGTGGCACCTTAGAGACTAACCAATTTATTTGAGCATGAGCTTTTGTGAGCTACAGCTCACTTCATCAGATGTTTACCGTGGAAACTGCAGCAGACTTTATATACACACAGAGAATATGAAACAATACCTCCTCCCACCCCACTGTCCTGCTGGTAATAGCTTATCTAAAATGATCAACAGGTGGGCCATTTCCAGCACAAATCCAGGTTTTCTCACCCTCCACCCCCCCACACAAATTCACTCTCCTGCTGGATACGAATACAGACTAACACGGCTGTTCCTCTGAAACCTGTCATTTTAAAAGTTAAGGCCATTAATTCTTAGTTGGCCTCCTACGTGGCGGCGACACCCACTGCTATTGGATGGTGGCACACACTTTCTAACAGATGAATGAAGTTTGAAGTTTATAAAGGCAATGTGGACACCTCCTTATCAATATGGCAGCTTTAAAGAATATTAGCTAACAAACAGCAAGAGCAATTGGAATTGTCTCAGTTACTGGGCAGACTGCACCTCTGACTCTTCTTGGTCTGTCCACGCTCACCCCCTCTAGCTCTCAGACCTCGAGGCATCACCAATCTTTCAGGGTGGCATCATGTGATTGTTGTACTCTCAGGTCCTGGGCTGCAACCGTGATTTACCTCAGCAGGTCTGACTTATGTCCAAACCCTGCAATTCTTTCCTCTCCAGGGTGATGATGATAGAAATCAGTGACAAAACGACCTTCTTAAAGCAAAGTTTCATTTATTTAGAACCCAAGCACTTCAGAGAAAACATATCTTAAAAGCAGTAAAACACACTACACATGTCTAGCTTACCAGGTGTTTAACTTTCCTCTATATGGGGATCTTGGAAGGACTAGCTCCCTATAGACTCTTCCACAGAGCCTCTCTCTCAAAGCTCACAACATGCTCCGGACAGCCCCAAAGACTCATCACCCTTCACAGGGATCAAGACACTTTTTCATTATTTAACACCCTTTGATCTCTCATCTCCTGCCACAAAACAGTGGTGTCACTTCAGTTTACACTCTCGAAGTATACCACTCTTTCAAGTGGGTGCTTGGGTGCTCTTATAGGAAAAGCTGTTGTCTCACCTGCCTGTACAGAGCCACTGAACTTGAACCTTATTTAGTGTATAATAAACATTCCAGTAACCCCAATGTCCAATAACTTACATTTCCTGACTGGTCACAGTGTTCTTAAAAAGAAAAGGAGTACTTGTGGCACCTTAGAGACTAACCAATTTATTTGAGCATGAGCTTTTGTGAGCTACAGCTACAGCTGTAGCTCACAAAAGCTCATGCTCAAATCAATTGGTTAGTCTCTAAGGCGCCACAAGTCCTCCTTTTCTTTTTGCGAATACAGACTAACACGGCTGCTACTCTGAAACCTGAGTGTTCTTAAAATTATTATATAGCAGTATTCATAACATTATTATGTATCAGCTCCAGATCTGCAGCAAGTATTAGGTGAAAAAAGTGCTAGCTGCCTTTTGTTTGGGACCTTTCTAGATCTGCATCTGCAATGGCAAATCGTGAGCCCACAATTCACCACAGCTCCATAATCTATTACTCCATGGGTGGTAGCACAGATGGAAGAGATATATAGTGAAGAGAGGGCTCAGGTGTATTTTACTACTGTGCCATCTAAATGTTCTTCAGAGGCGAACTGAAGGTGCTCTGGAGATTGGGCCCTTCAGATTGGGAAGGGAGGATGTGTGTGTGTGAAATTTAGGTAGGCTGAAGATACTTGCCTGAATTG